TAAAACTGTATGTGTTTTTTGCTTTGGAAAATGAATTATAATCTTTTTGCATCACAAATCTTTTATTTTGTGATCTAACTTGGTATTTTTATTTCAAAATATATATATGTTTTTTCCTTTAAAACCACAGACCAAAAAAAAGCAAAAATTCAAAACAAGGAGGAACCTGAAAAAGGTGGTTCCAAGATGACTACAGAAGCAGAACTGAGTGTGGAGAAGGCAGATCAGGAGGAAGACGAGTACGAAGCACCCAGTCTGCCCCTGGGACTGACAGGTAACTTGCAGAAAGTTTTCCAGATATGTCTTCTTAAAAGTGTCAAGCCTCTGGATCGCAGGGTATGATGTTTCAGTTAGGACTGTTAGTGGGAAAAGGTAACTATCAATAACACATGTTTTTTATCTTCCACTTTGTGATGCCTTGGTTCTTCATGTCTCTTTTTCTTTTCTCCATTTCCAATTTCTGGGATCCCTGGTTTGATGTAATGGGAGAGTCGTGGCCCTGGAAGCTTGGAAGTTTATACTGGCTCAGTTAGTAATAATCAAGTCCCTGTGTTGTCCTTCTTCTCTACCCTTTTTCTTTTGTTATACTATCAGCTCTGAACTTAAAACCAAATAGCCTTCAGGAATGGAAAAACACCAAAAGTTTTTTACTTTTTTACTATTATCATATGCCATCATTAGGGTTTTCATCTTTTACTGTAAGAAGCTCTTAAAAGCTTGGCTGTCCAATAATGCTTTCAGTCATCAGAACTAATCACTTAACTGGCTATGGCAGTATTAACTTAAAAAAAAAGATAAATTTGGTAATGATGAACTATTTCCTGTTTAGGAGCATTTGAGGATACTTCATTTACTTCTCTAGCTAATCTTGTCAATGAAAACACCCTGAAGGCGATAAAAGAAATGGGCTTTACACACATGACAGAAATTCAGCATAAAAGTATCAGACCACTTCTGGAAGGCAGGTAAGCCTCATATCGATGCTTAGACATTGGTGTCTGTTTTTAGTGCTGGTACATTGAAAATACCAATATATGCAGTTCATTTGCATTATGTGTTGAGTCATGTATTCGACCTCCTTTAAAAGCCTTATTTACTGGTGTTTGGGAAAAGGTGTTCCTTCATTTTGTAGCATGATCTTATTTCTGAGGTAAGTATATAACCTGGGTGGTTATTGATCAGTGATAGAAAAGCAGAGACTTTTTCTTATTCACTCTGTAGCCTTGATGCCTAAAACATATTACATGTATAGTATATGGTATGTATTTCAAAAACATTTGTTGAGTGAGTAGACTAAATATCTTTCTCCTTCTTTCTTTTAATATTTAGGGATCTTCTAGCAGCTGCAAAAACAGGCAGTGGCAAAACCCTTGCATTTCTTATCCCTGCAGTTGAACTCATTGTTAAGTTAAAATTCATGCCCAGGAATGGTAAGCTTTATACCGGTTTGTTTCTGTTATTATTTCATTGGAATTTCATTGTGGCTGTTAGGAACTTGTGATAACAGCTAAGTTTGACTTTTAATATTTTTCATTTTTTGTTCTTTAGGAACAGGAGTCCTTATTCTCTCACCTACCAGGGAGCTGGCCATGCAGACTTTTGGTGTTCTGAAGGAGCTAATGACACACCATGTTCACACATATGGGTTGATCATGGGAGGCAGTAACAGATCTGCTGAAGCACAGAAACTCAGTAATGGGATCAATATCATTGTGGCTACACCAGGCCGTCTCCTAGACCACATGCAGGTAAAAGAACACTATTAGGCAGTGCCTGTCTTGTGTTGTGTGAAGCATAAACAAAACAGCTTAAAATTTTCTCTCCTGCTTATCTTATTAGAATACCCCAGGGTTTATGTATAAAAATCTACAGTGTCTGGTTATTGATGAGGCCGATCGTATCTTGGATGTTGGGTTTGAAGAGGAATTAAAGCAAATTATTAAACTTCTGCCTGGTAAGTAGGTAACATCTGTATGTAGTTTGCGAAGTACTCATTGGAGGTAGGCAGGGGTCATTCTTGTAGGAAAACTATCATATTGATAACAAAACTTTATTATAGCCAGATGAAATGGTTCTGCCAGTCAGCCTTACAGATAGTTTGAAACACAAGCATTAAACTTACTGCCATCGAGTCAGTTCCATCTCATGGCAAGCCCATGTGTGCTGGGTGGAACTGTAATCCAGGCCTTACTTCCAAGGTGCCTTCGGTGGGTTCAAGTTTCCAGTCTTTTGGTTAGTAATTGAGTGCTTAACTTTTGTGCCCTCTCTAAGACTTTAATAGTAACTGGATACAGTGGTCTGCCATTTTAGAGGATTTAATGCAAAGTAAACAGTCTTAATACATGTCTTATTTCCCTTTCTCCATCTTAGTTATTATAATCTCATCTAACATCCCCTGGGTAGCTATACATTTGTTGCATTCTGTTACTTCAGTTTCCAGTTGTTTATTACTAATTTGTAAAAATACAATATATATATTTTTTTTAAATCTTGTCTCTGGCAAGATGCATAGTATTGTTCACTATGACCCTCCACAGTACCCTAACCTTTTGGATTTGCTACATAGGTGATCTTGTTGTCTCCAAACACTGTTTTCACTTAATTTAATTTTTTTCTTGAATGATTGTACTGGTTATAATCTCTAATACAGTGTTGAATAGAAGTGGCAGGAGTTGATATCTGTGTCTAGTTCCAGATCTTAAGAGGGAAGGCATTCAATCTTTGACCATTAAATGACCTGTAGGTTTTTATATGTTGCCTTTATCAGATTAGGGAAGAATCTTTTCTTTTCTCAGTTTTCAGTTTTTTATCAGTAATATGGGATAGATAGATTTTGGTCAAATTCTTTTTCTATGTCTCTTGAAATGATCAAGGACCTCTAGTGGTGGAGTAGTTAAAAACATTGAGCTGCTAACCAAAGGTTGATGGTTTGAACCCATCAGCTGCTCTACAGAAGAAAGATGAGACAGCCTGCTTCTCATAAATATTTATAGCCTTGGAAATTGTGGGGCAGTTGTGCTCTGTCCTATACAGAGTCGACTCATGGGCTGTGAGTTTTGGTTTGAGTTTTATTGAAATGATCAGGTGATTTTTTTTTTTTTTTTTTTTTTTTTTTGTTAATATGGTGAATTACATTGATTGATTATCAAATGGGAAACCAATCCTGTATTCCAGGATAAACCTCATTTGGCCATGAAGTCCTTTTTATGTATTGCTAAAAATTTGTTTTGAAATTTTTCATCTGCTTTCACGAGGTACATTGGTCTATAGTTTTCTTGTAATGCCATTGTTTGGGTTTGGTTGGGAGAGGGTCTTACTTTTCCTTATGCCACTGTGACAGAAATAACACAAGTGAGTAGCTTTAAACAGCAGAAATGTATTTTCTCACAGCTTGGGGGACCAGAAGTCTGATTCAGTATGTTGCTCTAGGGGGAGCTTCTTTGTTTTTGTTGTATGCTATCAAGTCAGTTCCTACTCATAGTGACCCTGTAGGACAGTAGAACTGCATATACTACAACTCATGAAGTTTCTGGGCTTATAGATGTATCTGTTTCGTTTTCAAATAGCTTCCCCCTGTATGTGCTTGCTTGTGTATCTAATTGCTTTTTATAACTCAGAAGTGGGGGTGGCTTTCTCTTGCAGTCAACTCTAGGGGAAGATCCTTGTCTCAGCTTCTGTAACCCCACTGTTTCTCAGTTACCTGGTGATCTCCACCTGCTAATCTCCATGTCTGTGCTATTCTTTATAACTCTGAAGTGGCTAGGTTTAGGACACTCCTTCCACTGCTTTGGTCTCAATAGCAAAACACAGACCCTATTCCCAGATGTGATTACATTCACAGGTATAGGGGTTATGATTCCTGTAAATATCTTGGAGGGACACAGTTTAATCTGTAACAGGGTAATACTGGTTTCAAAGAATGAGATGGAAAGTAAATCCTCTGATTTCCTAGAGAGTGTATGTGTAGAATTGGTGTTATTTCCTCCTTAGATATGGGTAAGAATTCACCAGCACTGTCATTTGAGCTTACAGTTTTACATGAAGGTGTTAATAACAATTCTTTAAATAGGTATAAGGCTATTCAACTTTGCTATTTCTTTTTGAGTGAGCTTTAACAATGTGTCTTTCAAGGATTCCATCCATTTTTTCTAAGTTGTCAAATGTAAAATAAATAAAAAGTTGATAGTGATATTCCCAGCTTACCCTTATCTGTAGAATCTGTGGTGATGTCATAGATCCCAGTCTTAGTATTTCTACTTAGGGTATTTATAGTTATGAAGACATTATGAAGATTTCCTAACAAGCTTGGGTTATCTGTTTCAGTACGCAGACAAACAATGCTTTTTTCTGCCACACAAACTCGAAAAGTTGAAGATCTGGCAAGGATTTCTCTGAAAAAGGAGCCCTTGTATGTTGGTGTTGATGATGATAAAGCCAATGCAACAGTGGATGGTCTTGAGCAGGTACTTTCCATTACTATCTTAAAATTTAGGATTTAATTTGGTCTTATATAATTGTTTTGCAGATCATCTTGAAAGCCAGAAGGTTACCAAACCAAAATCAAACTCAGTCCCATCAAGTCAGATCTGACTCATAGCAACCCTTCCTTGGGTTTCTGAGGCAGTATTACTACAGAAGTAGATTGCCCAACCTTCCTTCTAAGGAGTGGCTGGTAGGTCTGAACTGCCAGCCTTCTGGTTAGCAGTCAAATGCCTTAGGCACTATGCCATCAGAGCTTTTGGCAATGGGTTAGTGAGCTTTTAATTCAAATATAGTGAAGTTGAGAATTCTCTGACTCTCTAGGGATAAAGTATCATGAACTGTAATTTGATCAGCTCTCTTTTCTCTGTCTTTTAATACCTCATGCTCCATGGAAGGTATTACTAATTGCATTCCAAGAATTTCTTGGACTATCCATTTTAGATGCAGTGGGAAATTTTTCTGTTGTATAATCTCACTAAGATGGGAGGTGAGTGGAAAATGGAGAGGCTGGGGGGCACGTACCTGTGAAAAGTAGAAACGAGATGATAAAGATCAAAACTCAGTTGATTAAAAATAGAACTTTAAGATTATCTCTTTTTTTTAGCTTTTTATTGTACTTTGAGTGAAAGCTGATAGAGCAGATTGGTTTTCCATTCAACAGTTCATATATCTTTTGTTTGTAACATTGATTGTAAACCTCACAATGTAACAGCCCTCTTCCACTTCCTCCCTGTGTTTAACATTTCCCTTTGTCCTTGATCTCCTATGTTGATTGTTCTAATGAATGTGCACTGCCCTAATATTGTTCACCTGATAGGCTATCTGTTATTTGGCTGAAAGCTGAGCCATGGACATAAGGTCTGTAGTCTCAGAGATTTCTACCAATCTCTGTTAGACTGGTAAACATGGTCTAATTATTTTGAGTTTTGTTACACATTTTTCTCCCAGTCTATCTGATGGGACCTCTTATTGTGATCCCTTTCAAAACAGTTGGCAGTGGTAAACCATCTTGTCTCAGGGTTGTAGAGGCTGGGGTTCATGTGGTCTGTTAGTTCTTTGGACTAACTGTTTCCTTACATCTTTGATTTTCTTCACTCTTCTTTGCTCTGGATAAGGAAAGACCAATAGTTGCACCTCAGATGGTCGGTCACAAATTAAGACCCCAACTGCTGTTCACCACAGTGGGATGTAGAACATTGTCTCTGTGGACTGTGTTGTGGCAGTTGACCTTGATGTCTAAGGCTGGTCCTGAGCCACCAGGCCAGAGATTCATTCCCTTAAGGTATTTTGTTATGGCTAACAAGATTTCTTAAGTTTGCCTCCTGTATACTCTACTGTATTCATGGATATATCTGTTAGTTGTTGTTGTTATTTGCCGTCAAGTTGGCCCTGACTCATAGCGACCCCTCCTTTGGTTTCCGAGGCAGTATCACTACGGAAGTAGGGTTGTCCAACCTTCCTTCCGAGGAGTGGCTAGTGGGTTTGAACCGCCAGCCTTCTGGTTTGCAGTCAAGTGCCTTAGGCACTATGCTACCAGAGCTCCCAATAATATATATATGGATATATCTGTTGTTGTTTTTGTTGTTATGTGCCGTGGAGTCAGACGCGACTCATAGCAACCCCTCCTTGGGTTTCCGAGGCAGTATCACTATGGAAGTAGATTGCCCCATCTTCCTTCCGAGGAGTGGCTGGTGGGTTTGAACCGCCAGCCTTCTGGTTAGCAGTCAAGTGCCTTAGCCACTACGCTACCAGAGCTCCCATGGATATATCTAGCACATATATATACATATGTTGAAATATCCTATTTCAAATCTGTTTTTGTGGGTGAAGGATGTCTTTTGATGAAAAAAATAGTCCCTGTAACTGGACTTAGCTTTAGAAATCTTTGCTTGGTTATTTGTTTTCAAAAATACATTCACTCAGCTTTATTGCCTATGTAAGACAGTGCACTTACAATGTGATTGAGATATTGCTGTTGGAGACCTATTAAAAAGTGAAGTCTTCGTGTGCCTTGAAGGTTCCAATTAATAGAAGTTTTAATACATTGTGGTTGCAGGAATTGTTAATGTCCTCTGAAATATAAAAAGTGTTGCATGTCAGAGATTATAGTCAATTAAGAGTTAACATTAGCCTTCTTAAAAGTCACTTGAAAAGTTATTTTACGAACACTTTGTTGCTATCAAGGTGGCACTTTTGCTACAGGTAAGGAAAGACAGTATATATGCAATATTTATGTTTTCAATCAAATTATACTGATGTGTAAAGCTTAAAATATCTGTTGGAGGGAGAACAATGTGGAACAAAACTCAAAATCATTTGGAAGGAAAAAAAAAGGGTGGGGGATGGTTGGGACCTGGTTTGCTGGTCCAATAGAGCCTGGTGAAACCACTGAGACTATGGCCCCTAGCTACCCTTCAGGTCTGGAATTGAGACCACACCTGTGGTTTCCAGCCAAGCAAAGTACAGGTATGTGAGTTGAACATTTACCTCAAGTGGACACATGCCCTTGAGAGAACAATCATGGGAGAAGGAAGGGCACCTTATGCACAGGGAGACAGCTTAGGGGGCAGGAGAGTATGAAGGGATGGACACTGGGAAGTGGTACTTGGGGAGGAAATTGGAGGGGAGCTGTTGCATTGTGGTAAACTGTGGTCAGTGACATGAGACAAAGTATATGTGAACTGCTGTATCGAGAGTGAATTTGCTCTGTAAATCTTCACCCAAATCTAAATAAAATAAAATTAAAATATCTGTTGGATTAATTTATAACACTTGACCCACTTCTAGGGATACGTTGTTTGTGCTTCTGAAAAAAGATTCCTTCTGCTTTTTACGTTCCTTAAGAAAAACCGAAAGAAGAAATTAATGGTGTTCTTTTCATCCTGTATGTCTGTTAAATATCACTATGAGTTGCTGAACTACATTGATCTGCCTGTCTTGGCCATTCATGTAAGTGACAATGATGAGTTTTTGCTTTTGTTGTTGTTAAAAAGATGATAATTTTCAAGCTATATAGCTTGTGGGATTTGCGGTATTACTTCTCTAAATGTAGTTCTGAGTAGTTGGTCAGCATTGGGTATCAATGCTTTATGCAGGGAGCTGTGCTGGGTGTGAAGGGGAGAGGGCCACAGAGGACTGAGAGACTTCATTCTCCTAGAGGGGAAATAGAACATAGGCTGGGGAGTGAACCTGAAATAAAACATTAACAACTCCACAGTTGGGGGTCCCTACATATAGATTTCTCAGAATCAGTCTCAAGGTTTTAGCTCTAATGGTGTGTTTTTATTTTATTCTAGGGAAAGCAGAAGCAAAATAAACGAACAACCACATTCTTTCAATTCTGTAATGCAGATTCAGGCATATTATTGTGTACAGATGTGGCAGCTCGAGGGCTGGATATTCCTGAAGTCGACTGGATTGTTCAGTATGACCCTCCAGATGACCCTAAGGTGATTGGCATTCTTGCTCTTTCTCTAGAAGGGTTCCACATAACAGGATACTCTTCCTCTCTGGGTTCCCTGGGAAATATTACACATTTGTGAGTGTTAATCCCTTAGTCAAGTCGTGTTAACGTTGCACAGTGACTCTAAAGTGTTTCTCTGGTGCTGATAAGTATTTAGGGCCTCACAGGGTCCAAAGGGGGGTGTGCTTAGACATTTGAGAGGCATCATGGGGAACTGAGTTACAATGTTAGATCCTTTAGATCATCTGTTAAGGGCAACAGGTATCAGAAGGAAATTAAAGAGTTGGATAAGGTTTTGTAATAGAATAAATTTCACTAAGAAGTGTTTTCAGTAAACAATGAAACTGTCAAATGGAAACCTAACTTCTTGTGTAAACTTAACCAAAAACTCAATAAAGTACTATTTTAAAAAAATAATGTAAAAAATTACCATGGATTATTTGAATTTCAGCTAGCATTCAACCATGGGGGGAGCCATTTGGTAGATGAAACACACTTAATACTCATTTTATTAGATGATAGTGTTAATGTGACCATCATGTCCAGTCGTCTTCTGCCTTGGTCATTGCACTATGTGTGCCAGAGGAAATGGTGGAATAGCTTTATGCATGACACAGCATGTGGGGAATGTACTATCTGGATGCAGGTGTTCTCACAGTCCTCTGCCCACCACCACATACATCCTGGAAATGCAAATACACTGTTAACTGTCACAGGTCATGTGGAAGTCATTATTAACCCAGGTTATCTTTTTCCACCAAAGGAGTACATTCATCGTGTGGGTAGAACAGCCAGAGGCTTAAATGGAAGAGGTCATGCTTTGCTCATTTTGCGTCCAGAAGAATTGGGTTTCCTTCGTTACTTGAAGCAATCCAAGGTAAAGATCTTGGTTTGGAAAATCTTAAGTAGGGAACAGAGTCCTCTTGTTAGGGACTATTTGTCAATGCAGACTATTGAAATAATTAGTAACAGCTAAGCAAATGAGATGGTATGTGGTGTTGGCCCAGGAGGTGTAGACAGAAAGAGCTGCCTACATGGCTCAGCCTTAAGCTGTATGTTGTTAGCAGTGCCTCTTGTGTCCACAGTCTGTTCTCCCACTCCCTACAACTCTGTTTGAAGCCTTCTCCAGTCCCTTAAAGCTCCCCAACACCTGGTCCTCTCCACTTCCTGTCCGTATGTCCGCCTGCCACCAGCTTTCTTACATCCCTTCATTCTAGTATCTTTTCTTCCTTCCTCTGTCCCTTATTCATTGACTATGCTATATTACCTTGAATCTCTCATTCACAGTTAGGTCTTTACCATCTCCGGACTCACTGTTAAAAGGCTAACTTCAACACTAAACCCATCACCATTCCTAACTCTAGTATGGCTACTGCCTATTGCCTTTCTTAGTGTACCCTTATGGTTCTATTTTTCCTAAACTACTTTCCATTAAGTCCCCAACCCAACCTAATCTGGCTGTGACCTCATTCTACTCCACTAAAACAAATTCCTCAGAGTCATCCATGGCCTTTTTGATGCTAGGTCTTGTCTCTCCTGATACTTTCTTCCTCAGCCTCCCTGGCAGAGTCTGGCCAAGTGGATGTTCTTCCACCCAGCAAGTACATGCAGCTCCATGAAACTGCCCTATGGCCTTCACACATTGTCTCTAGAATGCCCTTTTCCTGGTTGTCTAGAATGCTTCCATTTGAGCTAGGTGTTGTATCTTCAGTGATGCCATCTCTGCTGCCCCTCCATATTCCCTCAGCACCTGATGTTCATTGAGTTCTCACCTCTTCACTCATCTATCTCCCCCACAGACAGCAAGCTCTGGTACAAAGTACCAGCACCTCGTACTGGGCCAGGCACTTTTCTGTATCTAGTAAATGAATGATAGCAAATTTTTCCTGTAGAGGTTTGTCGTTACAGGGCAGTGTGCTATTGGGGCACCTCGCCTGCTGACTAGAAGCTTCAGAGTATTTGTCTTAGTTTCCTAGTGTTGCCATAACAGAATTACAAGTGAGTGACTTTAAAGAACAATTTTATTTTCTCACAGTTTAGGAGGCTAGAAGTCTGAATTCAGGGCACCAGCTCTAGCAGAAGGCTCTCTCAGTCAATTCCAGGGGAAGATCTTTGTCTCAGCTTCTGCATCCTCAGCATTCCTCAGTTAGTTGGCAATCTCTAAGTAACATTTATCTCTTAACCCCCACCGTCAGCCCCAGTTTGTGCTTCTTTGTCTTTATAATTCCAAAGCAGTTAGGTTTTGGGCACATTCTATACTGTTATGGTCTCATTAACATAAAACTATTCCCAAACAATACCAGGTTTGCTGGGCTGATAGAGCCTGGTGGAACCACCAAGACTATCGCCCCTAGCTGCCCTTCAGGTCTGGAATTGAACCCACTCCTGTGGCTTCCAGACAAACAAGAGACAAGCATATGAGGTGAACATTTACGTTAGGCAGATACACTTTGGAGAGAACGATCATGGGAGAAAGAAGGGCTGTTTATGCACAGGGAGACAGCTCAGGGAGCAGGAGTGCATGGAGGAAAGGACACAGGGAAGAGGTAACTATGGAGAGGAAGTGGGAGGGGAGCTGTTGCATTGTGGTAAATTGTAGTCAACTTCATGAGACAAAGTGTATGTAAGGTGCTGTATGGAAAGTGAATTTGCTCTGTAAACTTTCACCCAAATGACAATTATAAAAAAAAAAAGAGAGAGACTTAATACTCCCCCAGTCTGAAGAAACACTGGATAAAGAACGCCTGCCAGTGTCACTTAGACTGCTCACTATTTCTCTTCCCAACAGGAAAAAAAAAAACCTATTCCCAAACAAGAGTACATTCTCAGGTACAGGGGTCAGAGTTACAACACATATTATAGGGGGTATAATTCAATCTATAACATAATCAGGTTTATAGAGATATTTATTTAGCAAAAAGTACGTTACCAACTCATTTTTCCTGACCCATTCCTCACTTTCCTTTTAGGAAGAAAGAAATGTACATTCCCTAGTACGATTTGTGTGAACCCCTAGCACACTGGGAGACTAGAGGGAGCAGATTTTAAAGACTATTCCAGGGAATTCTGTCAGCCTAGTTGTCCTTCCCGGCCTCCAGTAGAGCTAAGTTGAAACCACCATTGCCCAGGCTCCGACCATGTCCCCAGCTGCTGCTTTTGTCTAAAAACTTCTCATTCATCTAAAAATTTCAGTGTTGATCCATCCTGGTTCACTAATCTTTGTACTTTTCTAGGTTCCACTGAGTGAATTTGAGTTTTCCTGGTCCAAAATTTCTGATATTCAGTCTCAGGTATGCTTATTTTATTTTTTTCTTCTACATTTATTAAGAGGTGACTTTGTCCTGGCACTGTCTTTGTAGTATTTCCATGGGTAGTCACTGTCCTCTGAGTCACCCACTTTCATAAATTAAAGAGTTTGGACTGTGTTATCTTTAAGGTCTCTTACAGTGCTGGTTACCAATTTCCTGTACTCACTACTTGATTTCAACCCATGTCTTGTAAGACTTTTGGCACTGTTCTTACTGAAGCATGATCTTTGCAAATGTCCCAAAGCCTGGAGCAAGTGCATTCAAATAAATATTTGCTGCTGTATTGCTTTGTTCTGTGGTATGTGAATTCTGCATGTTTAGGGCAAATGGCATTTTTTAAATTTTATTAAAACCAATGTTTCTTTCCATTTCAGCTTGAAAAATTGATTGAAAAGAACTACTTCCTTCATAAGTCAGCCCAGGAAGCATATAAGTCATATATTCGAGCGTATGATTCCCATTCTCTGAAACAAATCTTTAATGTTAATAATTTGAATTTGCCTCAAGTTGCTTTGTCATTTGGTTTCAAGGTGCCTCCTTTTGTTGATCTGAGTATCCTTTTTTCAATTACGGTTTTATCTTGGAAATGAGAAATAAAAGCTTGATAGAGGTGACTTTGGTCATAGCACTTGGGTTGGTGTCATGTGGCTGAGGACTGGAGGATTTGGTGCTCACCCTGGTAACTGTCTACTTGTCTGTATGAGCACAGGTCAAAGAGCTAGCTGGCATGGAGCAGGCAGGGGTTAGGTACCAGGGTGGGATTACATGATGGAGATGGCTTACAGCTCATGCCTTAAAAAAGACCAAGAGAGGAAAAAAAAAAGGGCCAAGAGATTTGAATGGCAGGCAGCAGGAGCCTGGGAAGGTTGTACATTCCAAGCAGAAGCACAAAAAAATGGAACCAAACTAGTTACTACTCTGTCAGTTCCAGTGCATGGGTGACCCCATGTGTTGAAGAGTAGAACTGTGATCCATAGGGTTTTCTATTGAAGTTAATAGTAAGCACATAACCTAGGCTGAAGTACAAGTGCTATGACCGAAGGGCTCGCATGGTTGCTGAGGGTACAAGGTACTTGGAGCGTAGGACACTTTGAAGCTAAGAGAGGAGGGGACCTTCCAACTCATTTTTGTCTTCTTAGAGCCATTGAAGGATTTTATACAAGGAATAGACAAGAGGAGCAAAAGAAAATAGAACTTAAGTGTGGCTTAAAATAAAGGCAGAAGGAATGCCCCCATTTGATTCATTGCAATTCACAATGGCTGCTTTGCTCTTAAGTCTTCTGTGGAAGAAACAATCAACCAAAACAAGGCCAAACTCTTAGTGCTCTGGCAGTAATTCTTGAGGGAGGGAGAAGACCAAGTTTTGGGTAGCCATCCCCATTATACACATTTCATAAATGTCTACTGCATTACACAGTATATTGAGTTACGTGAAGGGAAGAACGTTCCTTCACTTTGTTAAGCATTTCTGATTCCGTTCCAAACAATTGGAAACCATTTGTTTTAATAGTAGGTGGTATTTCTGAATGTGTTCATACAGGCGCTCATGCCTAGTTGCCTCTTTGTGTAAGTAATTATGTTGAATCACTGTGGAGGAAGTAAGTAAGGTGACTTTTCTATTCCTAATTTAAGTCCACAATCATGTGGCAGCTCCTTCTGATTTTCTGGTAATTTATTGCAGAAGCTTATGTTCACATGTTTTCTCTTCCCTGCTAAGAGAGTGACTGTAGAAAGACAACAGTGTGCATGTTTTTTGCTCTATGTAGATAATGGATTGAAGTTGATTATCTTTGTATTGCTTGATTTCCTTAACATTGACCTTTAGATGTGAACAGTAATGAAGGCAAACTTAAAAAGCGAGGAGGAGGTGGTGGATTCGGCTACCAGAAAGCCAAAAAGGTTGAAAAGTCCAGGATCTTTAAAAACATTAGCAAGAAATCACCTGACAGCAGGCAGTTCTTGCACTGAAGACACACCTTCCTTCATCTTCAATAACTTTGTCCCAAAATGGATTTTCTTCCCTTTGTTCTAACAGGGAAATGTTTGATGCCTTTAGAATTTGGACTGAGTTACCAAGAGTATAAATTGACTTGGGCTACAGGCACTAAGGACTGTTCCAGAATATCTTTTTTTTATTTGGGAGTCAGGGAGTGGGAGGGATGCATACAACTGTTCAATTTTTCTTGCTTGCCCAAGGGCAAAGCAAAGGGATATTTTTAGTGTTTGCTTCTTGATAAAATAATTAAATTTAAAATATTTTCCCCTTCAAATTTATATCATTGTTTTAATAGAATTCTTTCTGTCCCTTCTCTTCCTGGTGTCTGAAAGTTTTGTGGAATGAATTGTTATGCTAACTTGCTGTAAAAGACAGGTGACCTAGTACACGGAACACGTGGTGTGCTCGTGATAATGCTAAAAACAGTGGCAGTTTAGTTTTTGATTTTGACTATTTCTTGGACCATAACAGTAGTTCTTTTAGCCCTCCTGAAAGTGCTATGGTACAAAAAGGCACAGAACTTGGGGAAATATCTAAGGAGTACCTTAGATGTAAAGTAGTATTGGTTTCTATGTACTGCTACTCGGAAGGAAGATGGGGCAATCTACTTCCATAGTGATACTGCCTTGGAAACCCAAGGAGGGGTCACTATGAGTCAGGTCCGACTCGACGGCACATAACAACAACAACAACAACAACAACAACGTGTACTGCTAGTATATTTTAAAATATGAACCTTTCTTAATTTTTTTTTAAGAGCAAGGAATATGAGTTGTCATTGTTATCTAAGTGACCATAGCAGTCTTAACTATTATGGGGCTAGGGGTGGCAATGGTGGGATTTTGGAACCTCACATTAATAATAGATGTAATATTCTGTTGAGTTCTATATTTGGTAGCTTAGCAAAAACAAGAATATTGACATTCTTCATTCATAGTGGTTGAATTCAAGGTGGTTTGGGTTTTGGCAGACACTCTGAATTCTTCTGAGTATCTAGAAGACATGGCACACTATGAGTAAACTTAAAACCAGGTGTCAAACAGCACCACTTAATGTGCAGTAATGCTGGTGGCATCATGGGAAAAAGTAGCTCTTCTAGATCGAAGAAAAATAATAAATGGCAGTGCAGTGAAAGTGAACAGGTCAGCAAACAGTGACAAACAACAATTTAGTCAGATTATTGTTGTAGCATTTGATTTCTACTGTTTCATGTCATGTATTCGTTATATCTTACAGCATCTCAAAGCCAAAGCTGCTGGCATCGTTTTGCAGTGTGCTAATACATATTCCTGTAGAGTCCCATTAAATGTAAATACATTGATTTGAACTGTAGATGATAGAGGAAGTGGGCTGATAAATACATCCTGATGGGAAAAGAAGATGCTGTTCCACAGTCAAGTCTGGCTGCTGGCCCTGCCTGTCCTGGATTTCAGGCCCTGGCTGCTGGGTTTCTCCCTTGGCTTCTTGGACCTTTTTCTCTCTAGTCATTTGTTTTCCTTTTTTTGTTTCAGAAATTATGTTTCAAACAATGCACATAACCAAGGGGAGAAATAAGTAATCACTGAACAGATCTAAATATTGTTGATATTTTTGTATCTAACCTAGTTTTTTCTATGCATTTTTTAATTTATTTTTCCAACAATGAAGTCCTCTTCTACCCACTGTGTAACCTGTTTCATAATGTTATGTTCTTGTGTTACTAAATAACTTCATCAGTCTTACATTTATTACTGTGCTTTGTTTAACCCTTGCTTGGTCTGCCTGGGTTTAGATTCCTAGATACCTGCTTATCCCAGGCTGCCTCTCCCTGTCTGAGCATGTCTAATACCTCAATTTATCTTGCTGTTGTTGAGTCCAGTATAAGTAATTCATATATACAGAGAGGTTTTGTGAGAAATGTATAAACAGAAAGTGGAAAGACTGATCCTACTACAATGGCTTGGCTTATATTAGGTACTTGCTATGTGAGCCTAGTAGCAGGACATCTGGACGTGCGACTTGGCCAGCCTGGCCAGGGTTCAGCTGTGAGAGACTAGAATCAAAGAGATGGTATTGTCCCTATTTTGTAATGAGGGAGCAGCTCAGAAGGGAGTAATGAAAATAAGTGAATGTCCTGGCCTCCTTATCGATATGCTCTTCTATCAGCCCAAAGGTAAGGCACTTTCCCGCTCCCTGACTGACTGCCTTGAGGAAGCAGCAGCAGTTCGGTTTTTAGGAAACGGGTTTGATTTCCAGCCAGTGCAACCCATGTGCAACCACCACCTACCTGTCTGTCAGTGGAGGCTTATATGTTGCTATGATGCTGAACAGGTTCCAGCAGAGCTTTGAGATTAAGGCAGACTGGGAAGAAAGGCCTGGCTTATATTAGGTACTTCCTAAAATCAGCCAATGAAAACACTATGGATCACAACAACATTGTGCGTGGGATTGCCATGAGTTGAAGAGCATTAACAATAGGATTATTATAAACTTATAAATTTCCTTTGATTATGATCCTGTGGTTAAATAGGATAATATCCTTAGAGTATATGTGCTGAAGAATTAGAGCTAAAGTTTTTGAACTGAAGCAGAAAAAGTAAGTATTGAATCAAAGTAGTGAGTATATGGATATTCACAGTACTCTTTCAACTTTTGTTTAAAATTTACATTAAAAAAATTGTTCAGTCAAGTTGTATATACTAAGTACTTGTAACAGAGCTCAAGCCACTTTGCTATTGGAATTGTCCACTGTAACCAATACATAAGATGTGTTAGTATCATAAGAGCAACCCTAGGAATCTTTGACTTTAAGGTGCAGGAGGAGCACTGTACTCCTTGGGCACCAGAGTTTGGAAGATTTCTAGCTCCACAGGAGCCCATGTGCAAAGAGCAGGTTGTGGTTAGAAGGGGCATATCTGGGAACCCTTGGGGTCTGTGATTAAAGAAAAAAAAAAAAAAAATGCTGCTGTGAGCATTTGACTTCTGATTTCCATAATTCTTATTTGTAAGCACTTTTGTGCTTGTACCTCCTTATAATTTACTAAGTGCTTTGCTCTTAAAGAGCACTTAACACAAAGAGGTGCAGAGAAATTACATCTGGCAATTATGTCAGTAAATTTAACTCC